GAGCGTCAAGCCATGTCAATTTAAAATAAAATTATTTTAGCTAAGAAGCAGATAATGTGATGAAGAGAATAGATCAACGTCAGTCACTCCAATCCAGTAATCCTAAAAATAATAAATTTAAAGGCTAATTTATGTAAAGGCAAATGCCAATTATCATCATGGTAGAGGAAATTTGGTAACTACTACCCTTACAGAATTATGACATCACTACAGCAGTTTTGTAAAAGAAATTTTGTTCATTAGATGCTTGGACTAATGAAGATGTGAATTAAATATAGCCTCTCCATTTCAGCAGACTTCTTAAAAAGGCTGAGTCTTAATTTTCTTTAATTTCTTCACATTCCAATAAATTCCTATTGAATTTAAGCCAGAATAGATTAGTTGAACATTTTTATAACTTTATAAATTGTATTTAAATCCAGCATATTAAATTAATACATATGCATAATTAGATTTCTTAGATAAATTAAATACTAAGTTTGATGTATGTTATACAAAGGCAGTATTTCAAACTCTATTTAATTAAGTCAATCCCACTGGTGGCAATTTATTGTAAAAATGCTGCATGTGCTGTAAAATGGTGATGATCTGTACAGTTTAGAAGAATTTAGTTTTACTAAGTCTTCTACTTGGTTCCTATGACTAGGAACCCCAGAGAAAATACAACTAAAGAAATCAATACCAATAGAAAATACATTAATTTTGTTACACGTATAGTTTAAAAGCAGAAAACAAATGATGCATGGCAGAAATAAGAAATAATGTCACCACGGTGTTTGATCAGCAGTATAGGAACTGACTTTGAGGAACTGATAATTTACTGTCCAAAGATTAGGCAGTGAAATAAATCAACATGTGGGAAAAATGGGAGGGGGAAGTGTGGTAGCAAATATCAGAATAAATCTGAATTTTCTAAGTTCATTAGGAAGGGAAAGGTGAAACTACGACCACCATGAACTGCTGCGGTTTAATCTATAAAAATGTAAAACTCGAAACTTCCAGAAAACTCAAGTATAAAATGTTTAATAAACTGGCTTTCTGATAACTCAAATGTTCACTTATAACTGAAGTTAATTTCTTAACTGTTTATGAATATAATTATCAAATTCAGAAGACAAGTGTTTTATACTACGCATTAAGTTTCTATTTAGAAAATTCTTTTTAGGATTTTATATTTTAAAAAGTGCATAAGAATATGAGAGGCTTATCAAAAATTATCAAAACTCAGTATATTTTCCTCATCTCCAGTAATCTAGAAACCTATTAAAACAATCTGCATCAAATCTGAAACTGTCTTTAATAAGATAAAAACACCAAATATCTATTTAAAATTCATTTTGAAAATGTAGTCTCAGATAATTCAAATCAAAAATACTGACCATTGGTTTTATCCAGAATACTGAGTTCTAAATGAACAAAATTTATATGTAGTTTTCTAGTTTTTAAGAGAAGCACTTTTTGTTTCATTAGAAAAGTTACCTCCAATGGACTATATTAATAGAGAAATAGCACAATTCTTACTCAGTACCTAAATTTTCTTAGGCAGAGATATGAATTTTTTTCCCCCATAGTTTATGTACTGGTCTGTGGCGCTTAGTAACAGCACCACTCTTGGGCTGATACTATTACAGATTTTGTTTAAATTTTGAGGGGAAGAAAATAAACACATCCCACAGGTCATAAGTGAATCATAAACTGATAGATTCCACTTCAGTAAATGAAAGGCAATTCTAAAATGAAAATAAATATGGAATTAAGGCAGCTCTAAAAGGTAGTAAAACTTATCCACCCCAAATAGTGCTACTGTAGTATAACTCATTCCTTTAAGAGTTGTGTGTATAATGTAGACATAAAAGCCAAATATCAAAATAAGCATTGCACAGTTATGATGCAGCACCAGGTGCTTTTACTTCAGTGAATGAAAAATAATGGCCACAACTCAAATGAAGGGTTAATTTAATATGAATATATGCACCTTACCAGAGATGTTTATGTTTACTACCAGAGATGATTTAGCAATTCCATATTCCTCACAAAGTCAGTATAATTGTTGTAAAAAAATCAATTGTGGTTCTGAATACCCGTTCACAGTTGACCTCAACAATGTATCTGATGTAGGAGACTGATTATCTGTGACAGGCAGAAGCATGTGGTGGTCCTCAGTCCCAAGTGGAAGAGTTAGTGGTAAAGTCATATCAGAAGGCTTCACATCCAAAGTTTCTGATAAAGGACTTTTTTGTATGGAATCTTGTTCACTCAAGTGATGATCCTCTATACTGGAATCTAGAATTTTATCTGTACCTGAAATGGAAGGTAAAAAAATTCACCATCTTTAAAAACAAAACAAAAACCATGAGGAAGACTCAATCTATTTACCACCCCCAGAACTTGCATTTCAGCCCCACACCTTTAGTCACACTGTTTCTTTTTTGCTGATTTGCCCTTAGCATTATCTATACAAATCCATTGCGGGCCTCAAGATTAGGTTTAAGCACCATTATAAAAATGGACTTAATTGTGCTAGACCAGGGTAAGCTGTTTCCTATCTACTTTATCACTCATTTGTCAGTTTTTCATATACCACCTTGTGACATCTGTCTATCTTACTGGTATGTAACGTTCTACTTAGGTGTGCCTTGAATGCTCAACAGACTATAAATTTCTTCAAAGTAAATGTCTAATTATACTTCTCTAATTCCTTCAAAGTACCTTATAGTGCTACACACATAATAAGTACCCAGTTTATTCAGTGAATGTATTAATGAGTAGTTCATATTCTGTGAGTTCAAGTTCAGAGGTATGGCACTTTATTTTCAGAAGTAAGAAATTCTGTGTTACTCAAGGGAGTAATTACCCCACTGACTAAAGATACATTTTTCCCTTCAAATTTTCCACTAGCTTTACCACGCACACTCTTCTCACTTCAAAGTACTGACGTGATTTCAATCTCACTAACCTTGTTAGACAAAATTGCATATTTGCTTTTTTAAAGTTATGATTCTGTTTTTGCCAGACTATTCCTCAATTCAGCCAGCCAAGAATACAACCTGCGCTCTCTTGTTGCGATGACTCTCTTCACAATATTCTCTCTGCCTGGGATGAACATTCCCTTTCCCATCTCCACCCTTTGAACTCTTCTCCACCTTCCCGTTTCCCTAGAATTAAGCCTTTCCAATACTCACCTCAGAAGGACTTAATCTCTTCTTCACTATTTTGCATCTCTATTACATCCTGTATTTTGTGTTGTAATCAGTTATCTATGTAGATTTCTGGTCTCCCACACCAGATGGTAAGCTCTCTGAGGACTAGGACTATGCCTTGCTCAACTTCATGTACCCTGCATAGTTATGTGTACTTTAGAGGTATTTAATAAATGCCTGTTGAATTAATGACTCACTGAAGTTTTCAGACATTACTACCTCAATCCTTACGATGTTTATATTTATTGTCAAAGACTATCATCTCTACACAGTGAAGAAGACTAGTGTTTTGTTTCTAATCATGACAGAATGGTAAGCACAGTGAAACTTTCTCAAGGATTCACTTTAAATAACAGACTAAGAATTGTGTAGTCTGGCTTTCCATTTCATGCATCATAACAATTTGGGGATACCTATTTCCTCTTATACATTTTTGGACTAGCGTTCATGATGCTCCTTTCTTCGCAGAACTACAGTAAACCCCAGTCAACCTAGATTCTAGTATGGGAAAGAG